CTTTGGCCCCTTAGGAAGGAGGGGATCTGGGTGTCTGGGCATAATGGAAGCACAGAGCAGACTGCAGGCATGGACCTCCGGCCCTACTGTGCTCCCCAGCTCTCTCGGCTGCAGAGGGCAATTCCAACAGTCTGATCCATCGGCATTTGCGGGAACTGTCTTTGGAAGATACACAAAGCATCCCCAGTAGATTTCTTAAATGGACTCTGCGGAAGCTTGAAACGCTCCCACCCAAGTCACAGTTTCAAAGGTTGGAATTTTGTTTGCATTTGCACATGCAAAGTTGGTCTAAAACAGGAACCCAAAGTGGTTCCCTCTCCGGCGTGCATCAGGCCCATCAACTGGTGCTTGTTCTGACGTCCAACAACGCAATCTGGGAATTCAGTGGTCTAACAAATTAATCTAAATAAAATAATCTATTTTTGAATTTGTACCTTGCAAGCCAGGGGTCAGGGTGTGAACTGGGACCAGTGTAGAAGCCCAGAGACACATGCTTCTACCTGAACAACTCTCCTGGCTTACAGGTACAGAAGGTGTGATCTTCCTAGAGAAGGCGCCAGTGTAATGAGTAATATTGCGAGTAGGCATCATATAGGATGAGGATGCAGCAAAGCCACAGAGCCCTGTGAATTGCTTAAGAAGGGCACTGAGATGTTGCTAGCAAAGCCAACAAAACAATAGGAATTACGATCCTAGGCCTGCATCTCCCTCCAAGAGACCAGCATTACACCATCCCACTGGGATAGGCAACGAAATGCATGCATCGGCCCTTGCAGAGCCTCCTGTGGCTCACAGACCACTCACACTTGGGGTTGCAAACATGAAATCGAACAAAGTGAAATGTCTGCTTTTCTTTCCCATCTTACTCAGTCCTTTTCCCCACTGTGCCAACCTTGAAGTCCAAAACTTAGGGTGTAGTTACAAGAAGGTGACCTAAACACTTGTCCAAACAGAAGTTGGAGCTTTGAGTTTAAAGTGTCAAAGAAGGGGACAGGGGGGACTGTAGCTTTCTGCTTTACATGCAGTGCAGTTTCCAGGCCAGTCTGGGAAAAGCCAGAATTCCTGGGATTCAGAAGGGCTGCTTCCAGCTGATCTACAGCAGCCACTGTGCCTAGGAATGCTGGAAGTGTCGACACTGGCTTGGAGTTACCTTGTGCAGAGAATGACATGGCATTGGTTCCCAACTGAGGGATAAGGCCGGACTCTTGTCGTCCTGAGGGATTTATTGTGTTCCAGGGTTATAAAACATTTTGAAACAACCTTGGAATCACTGGGCAGAATAAAAAATCTGATGCAGAGTGGACACTGATTTAGAATGTTCCTGGCTACCTTTAGGGATTTAATTCTTAAAAGATGTTAACTAAATAAATGCACAGACCTCATGGTGTTGGTATCATGTAACGTCCTGTCCCATTTCTGGGTACCTTGTTATTCTTAATCATGGTCCTAAGCTGAGTTGTTGTTGTTAGTTGCGAAGTTGTGTCCGACCCATCACGACCCCATGGACAACACTCCTCCAGGCCTTCCTGTCCGCCACCATCTCCCAGAGTCCACCTAAGCTCAGACCAACTGCCTCAGCGACTCCATCCAGCCACCTCATCCTCTGCCATCCCCTTCTTCTTTTGCCATCTATTGTTCCCAGCATTAGACTCTTCGCCAGGGAGTCCTTCCTTCTCATTAGGTGGCCAAAGTATTTGAGTTTCATCTTCAGGATCTGGCCTTCTAAAGAGCAGTCAGGGTTGATCTCCTCTAGGACTGACCGGTTTGATTGCCTTGCGGTCCAAGGGACTCGCAGGAGAATCCTCCAGCACCACAATTCAAAGGCCTCAATCCTTTTGCGCTCAGGCTTCCTTATGGTCCAGCTTTCACAGCCATACATTGCAACTGGGAAAACCATAGCCTTGACTATACGCACTTTTGTTGGCAGGGTGATGCCTCTGCTTTTTAGTATGCTGTCTAGATTTGCCATAGCTTTCCTCCCCAGAAGCAAGCGTCTTTTAATTTCTTGACTGCAGTCCCCATCTGCGGGGATCTTGGAGCCCAGGAAAATAAAATCTGGCACTACCTCCATTTCTTCCCCATCTATTTGCCAGGAAGTGAGAGGACCGGATGCCATGATCTTAGTTTTCTTAATGTTGAGTTTCAAGCCAACCTTTGCGCTCTCCTCCTTCACCCGCATCAAGAGGCTCTTTAGTTCCTCTTCACTTTCTGCCATGAAAGTGGTATCATCTGCATATCTGAGGTTGTTGAATTTCTCCCAGCAATCTTAATTCCAACTGGTGATTCATCTAGGTCCACCTTTCTCATGATGTGCTCTGCATATAAGTTAAATAGGCAGGGCGACAGTATGCAGCCTTGCCGAACTCCTTTCTCAATTTTGAAGCAATCAGTGGTTCTGTGTCCAGTTCTCACTGTTCCTTCTTTACCCACATATAGGTTTCTCAAGAGACAAATAAGATGGTCTGGTACTCCCATCTCTTTAAGAACTTGCCACAATTTGTTGTTCCCAGTGAAGAGACTGGAGCAACATCTCTGACCTCAGAGCTGGGAATCCAGGCTATCCTGTGATCCTTCAGTTAATATACCGGGGCCATAGGACAGTTCCCTGCATTTATTTTAAACTGCAGTGCTGCTGCTAAGTTTTATTTTGGTTTTTATTTTATTCTGTACTTTGAAGCTTTATTTTTATTCTATTATATTGTACTTTATGGCTTTCCTTGTTGTGGACCACCCAGAGAGCTTCAGCTATTGGGCAGTATATGGAATGTAATAATAAATGATCCACACAATCAAAGGCTTTAGCATAGTCAATGAAGCAGAAGTAGATGTTTTTCTGGAACTCCCTAGCTTTCTCCATGATCCAGCATATGTTGGCAATTTGATCTCTAGTTCCTCTCCCTCTTCGAAACCCTGCCTGTGCTTCTGGTAGTTCTCAGTCCACATACTGCTGGAGCCTAGCTTGTAGGATTTTGAGCATAACTTTGCTAGCATGTGAAATGAGTACAATGGTGCGGTAGTTTGAACATTCTTTGACATTGCCCTTCTTTGGGATCGGAATGTAAACTGACCTTTTCCAATCCTGTGGCCACTGTAGAATTTTCCAAATTTGCTGGCATACTGAGTGTAGCACTTTAACTGCATCATCTTTTAGGATTTTGAATAGCTCAGCTGGAATACTGTCGCCTCCACTAGCTTTGTTGTTGCTCAGACTTCCTAAGGCCCATTTGACTTCACATTCCAGGATGTCTGGCTCGAGGTCAGTGACCACCCTATTGTGGTTATCAGGGATGTTAAGCTCTTTCTTGTATAGTTCTTCTGTGTAATCTTGCCACCTCTTCTTAATCTCTTCTGCCTCTGTTAGGTCCCTGCCATTTTGGTCCTTTATCATGCCCATCTTTGCATGAAATGTTCCCTTCATATCTCCAATTTTCTTGAAGAGATCTCTGGTCCTCCCTATTCTATTGTTTTCTTCTATTTCTTTGCACTGTTCATTTAAGAAGGCATTCTTATCTCTTCTAGCTGTTCTCTGGAATTCTGCATTCAATTGTTTGTATCTTTCTCTTTCTCCCTTGCCTTTCGCTTCCCTTCTTTCCTCAGCTATTTGTAAAGCTTCCTCAGACAGCCATTTTGCTTTCTTGCATTTCTTTTTCTTTGGGATGGTTTTAGTTGCTACCTCTTGTACAATGCTGCGAACCTCCATCCATAGTTCTTCAGGCACTCTGTCTATCAGATCTAATTCCTTAAATCTATTTGTCACCTCCACTGTATATTCATCAGGGATATGATTTAGGTCATACCTGAGTGGCCTAGTGCTTTTCCCCACTTTCTTCAGTTTAAGCCTAAATTTTTCAATGAGTAGCTCATGATCTGAGCCACAGTCAGCTCCTGGTCTAGTTTTTACTGGCTGTATAGAGCTTCTCCATCTTTGGCTGCAGAGCACATAGTCAATCTGATATCTGTGCTGACCATCTGGTGATGTCCATGTGTAGAGTCGTCTCTTGGGTTGTTGGAAAAGAGTGTTTGCTATGACCATCGTCTTCTCTTGATAAAATCCTACCAGCCTGTGCCCTGCTTCATTTTGTACTCCAAGGCCAAACTTGCCTGTTATTCTGGTTATCTTTTGGCTTCCTAATTTAGCATTCCAATCCCCCATGATGATAAGGACATCATTTTTGGGTATTAATTCTAGAAGGTGTTGTAGGCCTTCATAGAACCGGTCAACTTCTGCCTCTTCAGCACCAGTGGTTGGAGCATAGACTTGGACTACTGTGATGTTGAATGGTCTGCCTTGGATTCGAACTGAGACCATTCTGTCATTTTGGAGATTGTATCCCAGTACTGCTTTTCCTACCCTTTTATTGACTATGAAGGCTACTCCATTTCTTCTGAGGGATTCTTGCCTGCAGTAGTATACCTGATGGTCATCTGAATTAAATTCACCCATTCCTGTCCATTTTAGTTCACTGATTCCTAAGATGTCGATGTTCAGTCTTGTCATCTCTTGTTTGACCACATCCAGCTTGCTTTGATACATGGTTCTTAAATTCCATGTTCCTATGGAGTATAGATCTTTGCAGCATCGGACTTTCCTTTCACCACCAGATACATCTGCAACTGAGTGTCCTTTCGGCTTTGACCCAGTCGCTTCATTCTTTCAGGCGCTACTAGTACTAGCCCTCTGCTCTTCCCCAGTAGCACATTGGACACCTTCCAACCTGAAGGGCTTATCTTCCGGCATCATATCTGTTTGCCTTTTGTTACTGTCCATGGGGTTTTCATGGCAAGGATAATGGAGTGGGTTGCCATTTCCTTCTCCAGTGGATCACGTTTTGTCAGAGCTCTCTGCTATGACCTGTCCATCTTGGTGACCCTGCACAGCATAGTTCATAACTTCATTGCGCTACACAAGCCCCTTCGCCACGACAAGGCAGTGATCCATGAAGCTGAGTAGGCTGGTACCTAATCCCATGCCAGTGCTCTGCCTCTGCTCAGATCGGCTGCTCTTGTGCTGCGAGGCCCCTGCCCCCCTCCTCCATCGCACCCTCTGCACAGGCATCCCCCTTCAGCCGCCCTGTCCACCACCACCTCCCGGGCAACGCAGGGCCAGGGCCCACTCCATCTCCAGGCTGGGTCTGTTGGCCTCTGCCATCACCCAGGCGGCGGGAGGATGCCGCCGCCAACACACACAGCCTGAACCTGCCTGCTGATTGGCTGGTGGTTGCCCCTAGCAACAGGAGGACGCTGTGCAGAGCAGGTTTTGTGACCGGCAAGCACTGTGTCGGCCTCTGAGTGAGCCGGGGGCTTTCTGCGGGAAGCAAAGCCACTTGGCGACTTGCACAGTCCACTGACGGACCAGTCGACTCCAGGAGCCAACCATGTCCCACCCCGGGGTGCTCCTGACCAAGGAGCCAGCCCCGCAGAGCATCCCTGTCTCTGAGCTGCCCATGAAGGTTTACGAGCCGGCTCTGAACACTGGCCCCGACTCCTCTTGCGGCTTGGCCACGGCCGGCTTCCGCACGGCCAAGTACCTGCCGGAGGAATGGCACCAGCACAACTATTCCCAGTACCACCAGGCCTTTGCTGACCGCGACCACTCCGAGCGGTGCCGCCTGGAGGCCCAGAACCTGGCCGCCTACACAGCCGAGCTGGCCCAGCGCACGCAGGAGGACTCCACCTCCAAGGTGGGCGAGCGCCTGCAAGACATCCACTTCTGGAAGTCAGAGCTGCAGAGGATGATTGAGGACCTCGCGGCTGAGACCAACCTGCTGGCGGCCCAGAAGCTGCGGCTGGAGCGGGTCATCGACGCCACTGAGATTCCCTACAGCATCGCCACGGACAACCTGCAGTGCCGCGAGCGCAGGCAGCCCCCTGATCTGGTGCGGGACCAGGTGGAGGTGGAACTGCTCAAGGTAGGTGCTTGCGTGGTGCCAGGGTGCGCCTGGAGGAAGGGATGCCAGCATCTGGGACACCTGGCCTGGGAAGAAAAGGTGGCAGGAAAGTGCAGCTCACGGGTGCTCACAGTTTTGCATGGTGTTGAGAGCGGGGGAGAACAAGCGACTGCAGGAAGGTCTCCAGTCTGGAAGGCTTTAAAATGGGACGGGAGCATGGACGGAGGAGTAGGCTATTGGGCTGCTCAGCATGATGGATAAATATGACCTCAGGAATCAGGGGCTGCTGGGAAATGTGCGCAGGCACTTCTCATTTGGGGCAACTGGTTGCCTGCTAGGCACACGGACTGCTGGGCTGGAGGAGGCTCTGGGGCCTGTCTGGAAATGGGCATGAATTAGCCCATGGAAACCCCGCACAACTGCGTGTCCGCCCCCAGCTGCCACAAAGGACTGTCCCTCTGGCTGGACAAGCAGCACTGTGAAGGTGGCCTTCCTTACGCTGGCGTGTTCCAGGTGTCTTGGACGACAGATGTGAGAACCTGCCACCTGGCACAGGAGTCCAGCGCAACAGACAGGTGCTGTCCAAATCCTTAAAGGGTGGGCTTCACTGAAAACCCACAGAAACTTGTTTTGAGGAATAAAGAAAACAAAGGCCAAGTAAACCAGCATATAACCAGAGCTAGTGAGCACCCACCCAGCTCATTCCATCTCCCAACTTTCAAGCGGCCAGATCTGCCTTCCCTCCCCTCCCACCCACCCTCACATTGTGATCCTCTTTCGCCTCTCCTTCCAAGACCCTCCCCCAAAAATGGCTCTGTTGCACTGAAAATGGAAATCGGGCCCAGTACTGTTTGCAGCCCCTTTTGCTGAACAGGGGCGGCTTCACGTGGGAAGGAAACGGGTTTCCTAATGAAAAGTGCAGCTGGCCCTGGCGAGAGATGGGGCTGGTCCTCACGGTGGCCTCAGGGCCAGAGCCTACCATCTTCACGGAATCGGGAAGGCTCGCACCATCATTCCTGGCAAGCACCGTTCGCCCTCAGGCTTTGCTCTTTGGCTTCAGTTATTCTAGATTTCAGTCATGGACCTATGGAAGGCAGGGGGACTGCCAACCACTGGACATCTTCTATCATTTTTGCGGACATTTGTTGCCTGCATGCTTTCAAGCATGTCTTCTCAACCATGAGTGCTAGTAACTTAATTTTTTAGATTGTTACTTAACAAAAAATCTGATGTCCTTAGGAGTTTGAATTCTGTGGCCGTATCAAGCCTTTCAACTTTGCAGAGAGGAGAAATGACTCAGAGACTATTTGCAGATGAACCATTCTAAAAGACACTCTGCATCTTATCTGGTCTGTTCCTGCTACTGATTTTTCTCTTGCTCTCACCTAGGAAGCTGAGCTCATCAGAAGTATTCAGGAGCTCCTGAAAAGAACCGTGAAGCAAGCTGTTAATCAGATGCAGTAAGCTCCCCATTCCCCTGACCGCTGCACTGCCAGTGAGCCACGTACCCCTGACCGCAGCAGGATGCGTGGTTGCATACAGTGTGACTTGCTGGAGCAGAACTTACAAGGGGGAGAATAAATGGAATCCAGGGCAAAGAACTGCAGCACGGGATGGGCTTGTGTCCCTCATGGCATGGCAGTTCTTCCTTGGCTTGTCCACATTCTGAATACTGAAGCTCTGAATTGCTCACGGAGCCCTTCCATCGCAAAATGCAACATTCGCCTCTTATTAAAGATCCCCAGCTGCCTGTGTTGGTCAAGGAGCCCCCCTTTTTTCTGGAAACTGTCTCGGGTGGCCTCTTTCATTGCCTATTGGGGTGCTTTCTAAAAGCCTAAATCGAGGTTTCCTCTTTGCTCATTCTTGGAGAGAAAAACATACTTTTAACTTTCTCCAAGTACTGCCAGCAGATGGCGGTAGAACACAGGGCAAGAGGCAGGCGGCAGTTTGGGGACTGCTCAAGGCGGGAGAATCGGCTTGGCAGAAGTGCAAACAGCCCCCAGCCCCGGACAGCGAGCTGCTGAACAGAAGTTCTGTGGCTGCCAGAGCTGTCCGCAGAGGGCCGAGTGCAGGTGTGCCCACCAGCTCCCCGAGGCACAGCCCCTGCTAGGGGGCGCACATACAGCCCCCCGAGGGAGGCCCCCCCGCTCCATTCCACCCAGGGGAGTTGCCCCTCAGCAGCCCCATTGACCAATCTCTTCTGGCTTCATGCTGGAAGGACTACAAAGCCGTGTGCCCCGCAATCTGGCTTCGGACCCAGCTATGGAACGGAAGCTGGGGGAGTGCGTCCCTGTTGGTTCTCCTGGACCTCTCAGCAGCTTTCGATACCATGGTATCCTTCTGGATAGGCTGGTCGGGTTGGGAGTAGGAGGCGCTGCTCTGCGGTGGCTCCACTCCGACCTGTCTGGCTGATTCCAGGAGGTGGTGCTGGGGGATTGTGGCCTTGCACCATGGCAACTTTGTTGTGAGTTCCACAGGGTGCCATTTTCGCAACCATGCTTTTTAGCCTTGACATGAGTCTGCAGGGAGAGGTCATTCAGGGGTTTGGGCTGTGGAGTCATCAGTATGCGGATGACACCCAGCTCTGCCTCTCATTCACATCTAGTCCAGGTGAGGCAGTGGCTGTACTGAACCGGTGCCTGGCTGAGGCAAAGGGCTGGATGACAGCCAATAAATTGAGGCTTAGTCCAGACAAGACAAAGGTTCTGTTGGTGGGTGGTTCATCCCCCTGGGTAAATGATTTTAATCCTGTTCTGGATGGGGTCGCACTCCCCCTAAAGGATAGAGTTTGCAGCTTGGGAGTGCTCCTTGACCCAGAGCTGTCTCGGGAGTCCCAGGTGGCAGTGGTGGCAAGGAGCGCTTTCCTTCAGCTTCGGCTGATCCACCAACTGTGTCCCTACCTGGATGAGCATTGCCCAGCAACGGTGACCCACGCTCTGGTAGCTTCCCAGTTGGTCTACTGCAACGCTCTCTACATGGGGCTGCTCTTGAAGGTGGTCCGGATACGTCAGTTGGGTCAGAACAGAGCTGCCAGGATGTTAATGGGGACCAGCAGGTCTTCACACATAACGCCGGTCCTCTGTTGGTCACACTGGCTGCCAGTTGAAGTCTGGGCCCAATTTAAGGTGCTGCTGATGAGTTATCAAGCCTATACGGCTTAAGTCCAGGATACCTGAAGGGGCACCTTCTCCCCTCCCGCCCCTTGGATCTGAGGCAGAGGCCCTGCTCCGGGAGACCTCCTTGAAGGAGATCAGGAGGGTGGCTACCCAGAGGAGGGCCTTCTCTGAGGTGGCACCCCATCTCTGGAATACGCTCCCCAGAGAGGTTCGCCTGGTGCTGACGCTTTATTCTTTTCAGGCAAAACCGTTTTTATTCTGCTATGTTAATGTTCAGTTGGCTTTAACTGGGGTTTTTATTTTGACTTGCTGGATGCTGTGTTTGTTTTGTTTATTTTATTTGTTCATTATGTAAGCTGCCCTGAGACGTCAGTGGTGGACGGGGTAGAAAAGTTTTAAATAAATAAGTAAATAGTGGGTGACGATCTAACTGCAGGCTTCAACTGCATGGAACCATTTCATAAACACATAACGGAAGAAGAGGAGGAGGAGGAGGAGGAGGAGGAGGAAGCAGCATCAAAATGCCAGCTGCGTGTCCTTAGGCTTCACTTTGTGTGCACATCAAGTTTCAGGTTTTGCAGTCCTGATGCTTTGCTGCTGAAAAATGGACAGACAGACATCCTCTTTTCTAGTTGGCAGGATGGAGAAGTGTATGTGACTAAAACTTGCTGCTGACCTTGATTTCTGTGATGTTCAGGACAGCTAAGTTGTGCTGCCCACAAAAAGCAAAATGTGCAGGGACCGCAATTCCCTTGTTCTGGATCAGCGCAACACTGCAGAGTGTGGGCCACACGTCTGCTCCTCCTGGGCGGGCCTCTGTCGGTCCCTGCAGTGCAGCCCTGAGCATAGGTGTGTTCAGGTGCCCTTTCTGAACCTGTTGATTCACAATTCACCTCAGGCAAGCAGGTGAATGACTATTTTCAAACCTATCCATGGCCACGTATTTGTATTTCTAAAATTCTTGGCAAAATAGAAAGCTTACATAACATGGGATTTTGATGCACTTCAAATTACCCAAGAGTTGCATCTCTCAGATTATATTCTAATTGGTTTTAATTGCAGTTGTTAAAGTTTACTGCCAACTGAGCCTTCCTTGGAGGTGGCAGTCGGAGATGGGCCCTAGAACATGATCACAATATACAAGTAGGAGGAAGTTGGGAAAGGTGTTCCATCAGGTATGGAGGTCTCAAGCTGTGTAGGGCTTTAATGGTTGAAACGAGCACCTTGAATTGGGCTTGGAAGCATATAGGCAGACAGTGCAAGCAGGCCAGAAATGGTGGTATATGCTCAGACCATCTGGTCCCTGTTCTTAGTCTGGCTGCCACATTTTGCACAAGCTGCAGCTTCCATACAGTCTTCAAGGGCAGCCCTGCATACAGTGTGTTGCAGTAATCTATCATAGAGCTTACCAGCGCATGGACTACCTGCTGAAGCTAGCAGGGAGCCACTGGAGAAGGCTACTCCAAGCCAATGAAGCCACCTGGGCCTAAAGCGACAAAGGAGCACCCACAAGCTGTGGACCTGCTCCTTCAAGGGGAGTGCAACCCTGTCTAGAACAGGTTGAATTCCCTCTGTCTGGTCAGAAGAATGGCATTTCAGTCTTGTCTGGACTGAGTTTCAGTTTGTTAGCCCTCATCCCTCGGCTGCTGCAGCCAGCCACCACTTCAGCACATCCAGAGCCTCACCTGCTGGGGATGAGAAGGAGAGAGTGAGTGGTGTGTCCGCAGCGTCCTGAAGGAAGCGCACTACGGTGCTGCAGGGAAGGGACGGCATGCAGTGGTTTCATGTAGATGCTGAATACCAAGTGGACCAAAACAGGCCCCTCAGAACCCTGTGCTGGAGCATCCACAGGCTGAACAGTCTTCCTCACGCACCACCTTCTGGAGATGGTTCTGCAACTGGACTGCAGCCACTGCAAGGCAGTGCCTTTCACACCCGATGCCAACAGTTGCCCAAGAGGATACGATGGTCGTTGGTGCCCTGCGCTGCTGGGAGTCAAGAAGCACCAACAGGAGCACAGTCGCCTCGCCTCTCTCCCACATAGGTCATTGCACAGGCTGGCCAAACCCAGGCCTGGACCCCAACTGAAAAGCATCCATGAAATCAGCCTCATCCGAGAGTGCCTGGGGCCGGATGGCCACCACCTGCTCAGGAACCCTGCCCGGAAGGGGATGCTTGACACAGGCCTCTGGATTCTCTGTGGGATGAAGACTGACTCCTTCACTCATTTTTTCTACCCTGGGGGCAGGCTTCTTTCGTTGTCTTTCTAGTCAATTTTAAGCACTGTTGGTTTTAATTTTTTGTCAGCTGCCCAGAGCCTATGGGAATGGGGCAGTATAAAAATATTAAGATACAGTCAAATAACAATAGACATTCCATTATCTAACCAGAAGATTGTAGTACAATTCTTCAGTACAGTGGAATTGCAAAAATACACAAACCCCTCATTCTAGTTCATTCCACCATTCCAAATAATACCCTGTTTCTTCCATGTAAAAAATAGCCATGGAAATGCTTGGAAAAGCAGGGGAGGGGACCTGAGGAAAGCTGGTGTGTACACCACCTAAAAGCTGCCCCCAAGTGAGGGCTCATCCTGAGCCCACTATAAATGCTGTGTGTAGAAAAGCCCACACAAGATGCCCTGCTAACATCCACACTAGTCAGCACTTGGAAATGGATGCTCCAACCACATCCATTCTCATTCCAAAATGACACTTCTCTGAGGAATTGAATTTGATTGCATTTTCTTGGACTGCCTAAGGTTGGGTTTGTAGGACTATTTTGGAATGCGCCAGTTGGTTCTGAGAGCAACCCTTGCTTCTTTCAAATTTTCAAAAGGGGGAGTAGAAGGGACACGGGGAATTACAGACCTGTTAGCCTTACGTCCATTGTAGGAAACACAATGGAAAGGCTCATAATAGCGAGAGATCTAGTGATGCTAGATAGAGAAGGGAGGCTGACAGCCACACAACACGGCTTCCGCAAAAACAGGTCCTGCCAGACAAACCTTGTGGAATTCTATGACAAGGTTTCGAGGTGGCTAGATGGAGGGGATGCAGTGGATGTGGTATACCTGGATTTCAGCAAGGCCTCTGACAAAGTGCCCCATGATATCCTGGTGGAGAAACTGAGGAGTTTTGGGATACACCAAAGCACTGTCTGATGGATTAGGGCATGGTTGACTGCCCGAAAGCAGAAGGTAACCATTAGTGGGGAATCATCGGGATGGTGGCCAGTGACAAGCGGGGTCCCCCAGGGCTTGGCTTCTAGATCAAGAGAAGTATTACTACCACTCTAAATGACTCTGGTGCTCCTGCAACTGGAGTACTGTGCTCAGTTTTGGGCCCCTCATTACAGGAAGGATATAGCCAGGTTGGAGTCAGTGCAGCGTAGGGCCACAAGGTTGGTGGCCGGTTTGCAGGGGATGCCGTACGAGGCGAGACTGAGGGAACTGGGTCTCTTCAGCCTGGAGAAGAGGAGACTCAGAGGGGATGTGTTGGCAACATACAGGTATGTGAGGGGGTGTCACACGGAGGTGGGTAGAGACCTGTTCTCCCCTGCAGAGGAAGGCAGGACACGCTCCAACAGAGCAAAGCTCAGGGAACCCAGGTTCCATTTAGATGCCAGGAAGCACTTCCTGACAGTCAGGACCCTGAGGGTGTGGAATGGGCTTCCACAGAAGGTGGTTGAGGCCCCATTGGTGCGGGTGTTCAAGGATAGGCTGGATGTCCACATGGTGGGCATGTCGTGAGTGGAGCCAGCTGGAGCTGGGGGTCAGACTAGATGGCCCGGGAAGCCCCTTCTGACTTGCTCTGTTTCTGTGTTTCTTCAGGTTAAATCGAGATCACAAGCAGATCTGTGAAATGGACTGGTCAGATAAGATTGAAACGTACAACATTGATGAGAAATGTGGGAGATACAATAACCAGAGCACCAACATCCAGTTCCACCCAAGTTCATCCAAATTTGAAGACAGGTGAGTACCTTGGATGACCTAGGGCAGAAAGGTAGCAAGTGGTAGGGCACCTGGACCCTGCCACAGAATATTGCAGCCTGGAGTGATTCTGCCTAGAATTCCAGGTGTTCTGGTCCTTACAATCCTCTGCTCCATTTTCTCTTTTTTGCCAGAGAAACAGCAGCACATGAGAACACAGCATGCTTGGGCTTTGTTGCATTTTGGGGGATCTCTCCCTTGGAAGAGAGCTCTGCAGCTCTTTGGGCTGTCTTCACATATGCACTTCCTCCTTGCACCTGGATCATGCTCCTGGAAGGAGAGTGGGAGAACTAAGAGTGCTATTAGAACATATCTGGAGTGGACACCTGTTTTATACCGAGGACACAGTCCCTTCTGGATAATTTTTCAGGCGGTTTTTGGTAGTAGATGAGGGTGAAGCTGGTGATGAGCAGGGCTGGGGCCAAAAGGGAGTTCCCCCTTTACCTTTCTGCTCCTCCATTTTTCTTCTCCCCTGCTGCTTCCTGCTCAGCCTTCCCCAGAAAGTTGGACATGATCACACGCAGAGGGCTTCTGAAATTAGTCTGGGTGCTGCTCGTGGCCAAGGTGACGAGTTGCTCTGGATGGAGGATGAGCCTATTGTCTGAAAGGCACATTCTGGAATCTGCTTGGACACAGAGACTTGCCTTTTTCTGGCACACTGGTCAAGCAAAGCAAGAAAGTGAGGGGTCCATCTCACAGCACGTTCTGCCCCCGATAGCAGCCAGGCGGGCAAATCTGGGAACCCGGGGGAACAGCCAAAGGGGTGCCTTTCGGGGTGTGGGGGCGGGCGCTGCCATCCTGCCTCTGGCTTCCTAGAAGTAAGGCCAAGAAATACCACTGAACCTGCTTCTAGGATGGTCTGCGTAGGCTTGCCCTGCCAGGGTTGTGTGAAGGGCTTTCCTGTCTCTGTTCCAGGTCAGCATCCTTAAGGGGTTGCCAGTCCTAGTAGTGCACCTGAAGGCGTGCAAACAGATTTTCCTAATTTGCTCCTTCTGCACAAGGTATATTCATCACCCCCATGCCTTACTCAACTGTGTTCTGTGTTAACAGAAACCTTGAGAGCTGTACTTGTATGGAAGGTGCTACATTTTGGACGCCCTTGCCTTGGTCTCTCTTCCTTTTCCAAATCCAGAAAGATGTAAAACATAAAGCAATATGAATATGAATGACACCAAAACAAGCTAAAGTGCACAAGAGAGTCCCTGCCTGCAGGCCTTCCATTTAAAGAGATGTGACACACAAGAAAGAAGGAAGATGGCAAACAAGTCTTTCTGTAGGCCTGGTGGAATGGTTCCACTTCTCTTCCCATCTCCCTCAGCTACAGGCTGCTGAAACTGTTTCTGGTGGTCGAAGTAAGATTAGTTTGGTCCTGTGTATAACACCCTAGAACAGTGATGGCGAACCTTTCAGAGACCGAGTACCCAAACTGCAACTCAGAACCCACTTATGTATCGCAAAGTGCCAACACTGCAATCAGACCTGAATTTGCTGACCACCAGCACAAGGGGGCAACGTTCCACTGACCAGCAGCTTTTGGCCGGCCCTGAAAAAGGCATCTGAGTAAATCACAGTCCAAGCAAATCCCTGGCAGCTCATGAGTGAGTCGTTGCCTGGTGCCCTTAATCTTTCCAAATATGCACATGGCTGCTGGGCAATCACGTGCATGCCCCTTCAGGCACGCGTGCCATAGGTTCACCATCGCTGCCCTAGAACCTGAAAGGATGAAGGCTGGCATCCTACTTTTTAATAAATGAATGAAGGACTCCTTCTCTTGCAGAGAATGTTAGGTAATGCACATAGTTCCTGCTGTGAGGTGGATAAGGCCAAGAGAGAGTAATTGGAAAGAAAGTAATTGGAAGGACCCCCCCAGAAAGCTTCAAGGAAGGGTGGGGGTATGATCCAGGTCTCTTGAAAACCCAGCACTCAAAAGAGTGTCCCTCACTGGCCCTGTTCCTTCAAGGATAGTGAGCAGAAAATTTTGTGCAGGGCGACACCTTCTATTCATCTATTCTGACTCTTAGCCTGACCTACCTCCTTCTGCTGCTGAGGAGCTAAAAAGCAGAGGAGGGGGATTGTCTAGGCCACCTGGGATTCTCTGCAGGAGCAGAGGTGGGATATAAAGGCAAAGTAATGCAAAGGAAACAAAATTTCCTCCCTCTCTTGTAATGTCGGCGCTGCAGTGCTTCCACTCCAGAAACGTGGGCCAAGCGCAGTCGTGGCAACATCCACCGGGCCGAGCGGGAGGAACTGGCTTCCATCAACCTCCGTGCCCTGGTCGACAACATCCTGCACGACACAACGGAGGACCTGCGCATGCAGTGTGATGTGGTGAACCAGGCCTTTGCGCAGCGCTGCGAGGAGATGGAGGATGCCACGCACAAACTGGAGCATCACCTGCAAAAGGTCCGCTTGGAGGCAGCCGTGATCCCGTTCCAAGGGGACATCATGAGTTGCATGGGGAAAGGCCCCAGCCCGGCTCCCCACACAGCCACACCACCTGCCTCTGGCCAACGGTCCCATCCCTTTATTTGTGTGCTCATTTATATAGTGCTGCACGTCCGAATAGATTCCCAAGCAGTGAACAAGGAAAGAGAAAAGAACCAAGGCATAATACTGGAGGATTTGAAAATCAGCAGACCCATGAAAATGGTGGCTGCTCAGATGAGGAAGACAAAGATGTCTTCAGCGGGCCACAGACGCAGCATGGTGTTGGTCCTGGCCCGCACCCTGAAGGGGCAGGGAGGTCTGTGGCCCGGGAGCCGTGGCACCAGAGCCTCTGCTTCAGGGGAACCCCACGGGGCCATGGTCCACGTGGTCACCCCACTGTGTCCTGGCTGATGCCAAGCCTGGTCAAAAGAGAGAGAAAAACAAAGGGCAGCAGCAGAAGTCCTGAAGTTGTTCTTCAACAATAAATGGTGGCAGTTGGTCAGCAGCTTCCACTTATTTATTGCTTGGATTTATATCTGCCTTTTCTCTTTCAAAGAACTCAAAGCAGCTTGCATCATCTATTCCCACTGCTCTCCATGGGATCCCCACAACAGCTGTGTGAGGTGGGCTGGGCTGAGAGGTGGTGAATGGGTCCCCATCCCACACTCTTAACCACTGCATCACATTGTCTTTATACAGATACTGAACTTGTGTTTATATTTAAGTTATAGTAACATTTTTGTTTATGCATATGCATTGGCATATGCAAACGATATTCAAATCTGAAGCCTCTTCTTGGTAATACAAAACTGGCCAGCCAAACTGGGCACCTCCAAGGCAACCCTCTTGACAAGGCCAGAATCACTACTCTTTAGCCCTGCAAACAGTAATTTTAAATCTGGCATAAATGCCAGGTGTATAAATGCTTACAACAATAACATAAGAAATCCCAAGAAAACCCCACAACAGCCATGATTCAGATTAACCAAGGTCACAGGAGTATTTCCTATCCGAAGCTTTCAGGGTAGCTTTCCTAATGGAAATATTTAAGTCTTTAGAAACAACTACTAGCTTTTCTTTTTGGCTTACAAACTGACCAAGATCCTGCAAGTAGGTTCACTTTAGGGACCAAAGATTTGCCAACTGGTGCCTCTCCAGCCAAGCTGGCAGCATTCCTGAACTTCTTCCCTCCCTTGATTCTGTTTTCCAACAGACACTTAAGGAGATTGGGGAGCAGGAGCACAACATTGCTGCCCTCAAGCAGGCGATTAAAGACAAAGAAATGCCCCTCAAGGTAGCCCAGGCGAGGCTGTACGACCGCTCGTTCAGGCCCAATATCGACCTCTGCAGAGATGCTGCACAGTTCAGGTAAGCCAATGCGGCTAAAATGCAGGACAGGTGTGTACCTTGGGCCTTGGTGGGTTGTTATTGCAACCCAGGGAGTCAAACCTGGGTCTGGTGCAGTTGAGGGCAATGTGAGAGTTTGGATGCTGGAGAAAATGGGCTATGGCTGATTCCCAGATTTCACTTCCCCAACCTGGTGCAGATGGTTTGGGCATCAGCCCCAGGCATCACACCCATCCTGGGAATCCTGGGAGTTGTGCTCCACGCTGTCTGAAAGACTCCAGGTTGGGGAAGGGCTTTCTAGGCAATGTCAACTCACCTGAATTTGTTGGGCTGATACAGATCGGAACTCCACTATCCACTGAGTTTTGCAGTTCTGCAAGAATGGCATTGCTGTCTTCTGGGAACTGCAGAGGGCACAGGATACAGCTGTGGTTCCCTTTATCCCAACAGACGTTAACAGGGCTTGATACGTTTTGCTTGTTTCCCAAAGATGCCCCCAAATGCCATCAGTAAAGGCAAGAAGCAGCCTCTTGATGATCCCTATGACAAATACGTGGCACAAGCTTGAAGCAGATAATGCCACAATGAGACAAATGCTTCTCACTCCCCAGTGTCCGAGTTAAGGTCTGGCTTCTGCATTATTCTGCATGCCTCTGATGCAGGCTCCGGTGTAATATATGCTTTGTAACGAAGTAAATGCAGAGTGCATGGGAGTAGTGGCACAGACGGAGTTAAGGTGCAGTGAGATGTGCCTTCTGTTGCACAGTAGCCCTGAAGAATTTGAGCTGCTCCATGGCATGGTTTGGGCAAAATGCATCCTGTTGCACATTCCAGCCAGAGGATGTTGCTGCAATGCAGCTGTGGGGAACCCCGGGCAGGGGTGGCCCTAGCCTAGCCTAGCCGCTGGGGGCTCATCCTGAAGGCCACAACCCTCCCCTTCCCCTGCCCTGCCACTTCTCTCCCGAGCACTGTTTGTTGGGCAGGTCCCCAGCTTTTGTGCAGTCATTCTCCCCATTTTCAAAGGCCATTTTAAAAACCATTTATTTCATTGCTATGCCTCCCAAAAGCCAAAGCTCTTTCCTAACATCTTGGTATGGGCAGAGAGAACATTAAGCTGACATATGCTGGTGTTTTGGTCTCCCATCCCTGGGGTACATTTCCCAGGAGCTCTGAGAATGTGTGATTTGGCTCAGGTCCTCTCTACATGATCAGGTTTGTCTTTGAATGGGATGTCCCATCCTATTTCTTTCAGGCTGATTCAGGTAGTTTCTTTTGATACGGCACAGAAAGATGAGCAAAGGTACCTGGTAGCTGGGGAACAAAATTATGCAGAACAGGTTGATTTCCAGTCACTATATCTGATTACACCAGCCTTTAAAAGGTACTCCAAATGCCACAACATCTCTTCAGTGTAATGTTTCAAATCATTTTCTGTTGTTACAAGAGAAGGGTTATCAATTCTGCTGGTGCAAGAGTAGCGGGCAAGCCGTTATTGTTCTGCAGACAACAGGGCAGGGAATTGTTAGCATACAACTTCTGTCATCAACATGTTTATGCAAACGAATAAACAAACAAGGAGAAGAAAAGGCGGAAATAGCCGGCTACATTTTCCCTTGTTAGTCTTCACAGTGCCATGAAATTAGAAATGTGCAGACGATGAATCTCAGGAAAGCAAATTATCCATCTTTGCTACTGGAGCAAGGTACAAGGCACGAGCCAGGATAATGCCTCTGAATTCTTCCTCTCCAGTTTCACAGAAACAAGGACAGGCAAAGCAGAGATGGGCGAACATGCTGCCTCCCGACTGCTTGATGCCTCCATTCGCAGCTAACAGCCTGGGATGCATAATTCCTGGGTTGTTGTGACACCAAACCCAGAAACTCTGGGTTGTTTAGTAGCTAAACCACTCGGAATGGACTGGCAGTCACCGGTGGTTTGTTCCAGCATTGCTGATTAAAAATGAAAGAGGCGAGCATGTGGAAGGCAGAGTGCTCTCTCCCCGCTGTTTGGCCCTGGCAGCTCCCGGCTGACTAATCTCCGGGTTTCCATGGCTGGAGAAGGGGGAGTGTGTCCAGATCAGAAGACGTGGTTTCCAGTGCCCTTCAGGCTCATTTATTTTTTGCGTTCTGCACTTCTGAGGTGCATCACCCTATTCCACTGTTTCTAGGCTCATCAGCGAAGTTGAAGAACTGACAGCGTCTATTGAAGCTCTCAAGAAGAAACTCCTGGAGTCTGAGCAGGCACTGCGGAACCTGGAGGACACACGCATGAGCCTCGAGAAGGAGATTGCCGTGAAGGCCAACAGTATTTTTATTGACAGGCAGAAGTGCATGGCCCATCGCACCCGCTACCCCACTGTTCTTAAACTAGCAGGCTACCAGTAGGCTCAGCGGGACCCAGGCCAGACCCAGCTGTTGCTGGATGCGAGGAACCCTCCTCTTGCTTAGTCTCATGGGGCATGTAAGCTTTTCCCCCACTAATGTCTTTGGTTTCAGTAGCAAATATACAAGTGTCGCTGGATACTGCCTGCTGCAGCCTGTATATGTGTGATGTCTGTAAAATGCCAGAATGTGCAAGCGGGTAAGTCCAGCGTCCAGACCTTGCCTTGTGCAGGAACGCCCTAAATGGGTGGGTCCCAAGCCCTGGCAGTGCTTTTCTGGCAGGGCGTGCGCACGTGTGCTTGCACATGACGTTTATAGCCAGCAGTATGTCTTTATTGCTCATAGCCACAGGCTGCTACAAATACGAAAAAGAAACTATACCGTAAAAATACAGACCAATTTCAAATACAAAGAGCTGTGAAACATTAAGAACCATGAAAAGTATTGTGGAAACATAATAGTTACAATAACCTAATTAAAATCACACAACCATTCCACTGGAAGAAATAACCCTTATCCATAAAATGAGTGCAAACTGCCGGGTGCGCCCTGGCTCTTCCCTTTCTAGCAGCCTGGGCGAAGTTTGCACCTTGGCTCAGGGTACATGCATTGCTGCCTGCAAGGGATATGCAGGTCTTGTCTGACAAGGGTCCATTTAATAGAGAATTGAGGGTATGATGGGGGAATCTGTACCTTGGAGACGTGTAATGAGGGCAGTGAGGTCAATGGGGTTCAATGTCCCCCACTTCACCCAACTCGCATGTACCAAGTTATCGGTGAGTTGGACATTGTGTTATCTCCTGTCCAGATAAAATTCCAGGGAGATGGGAACTGGCTGAGTCCAGATCTCCTCCCACCAGCTGACTGTCCCTGCCAGAGACCTTGCCCACCTTGCTGTGGCTTTTCCAGGGAGTCTTATGCCCACAGCTTTCCTCAGCCACAGCCAAGCATAGCCAATGGAGGGGGATGATGGGTGAAGTGGGTCAAAACATCCGGAGGCTCATAAGCTGCCTGCCCTGGCCCTGGGGACAGGCTGAGCTCCAGGAAAGCAGCAGGTGACATCAAAGCTCAAGGAGAGCTGTGTTTTCGCCTGTGGAAGAGAGAGTTGAGGGTGAGCAGGGCAGGGAATGGGTGGAAGGCAGGCTGGAAAGGTCTTGAGACATTTTCTGCCGTGCTTTCCATCCTACCCCAAGTTGTCAAGAGAAGACATGAAAAGTACAAAGATGTAAGATAAGGGAACCAGATTCCTGTCCCAGAGAGTGAGAAGTGATGCCGCCTGGGTGCAAAGGTGCCCTGGAGGGTCAGTCCCTCATGCTGGCTGGGGGATGCTGGGAACTGCAGTCTAGATCCACTGGGGGCTGCTAAAGAAATGGTCCCCTACCTTTCGTGCCCGGAAGCCCACCAACAGCAAAGAAGGTGTCGGTGCATTGCATCCGTTCACCTTTTCTGAGAGACTCAGTAGATATTTGTAAGCAAGTCATTATTGTGAGGTGGAATGAGCAGTTTCTGGTGTGGGGAGAGGAATAAGATAAGTTGGGACAGGAGATAATTAATAGCACAGAAGATTAAAATGCTGGCAGCCGACTCCTAGGGCTGAAAGGCCCAGCTCAAGAGATTGGACCATGTTCTGTATCTTTTTGCAACCCCCTGACAAGCTCCTAATGGCCCCTCTGCAGCTACCACTCCGCCATTTTCTGATCCATGTCAAGGAAAGCCCAGAGGCTGTGAACTCCTGCATTTCAAGTATGATCTGAAGGCAATCTCAATTAAACACTGAAATTCCATTTGGAGGCCATTTTCTGGCTTAATTGCCAAAGCAGCCTCCTGGCAGACTGCAGCCAGTCTGAAGCTTTTCCCCCTTTCTGCTTTTTCTTTTTGGAAAAAATTAATGCTGAGCAACTGCAGGATAGTTTCTTAGTCTTGCTGACAGCTAAAACTGCCTTTAGAAGTATCTATCTATGGGAGGATATAGCAGGATATAGCAGTCACCAAAGGAAAATGGCAAAATTAGCACGGATTAGACTTGCCCTGTAATGGCAGGACACCTGCGAAACTTCCAGGTCCTCCCGAGGCCACAGGCTCCATTTTTGTACTGCTCTAACAGTCAGGAAGTTCTTCCTGATGGTCAGCCAGAATCTGGTTTCCTTTAACTCGAGCCAGTTATTCCAGGTCCTGCATTCTGACCCTCCTCCGCGTGTCAACCTTTCAAGTACATGAAGGCTGCTCTTGCGTCCCCCCGTCTTCTTTTCTACAGGCCAAACATGCCCAGTTCTTTCAGTCTCTCCCCACAGTGCTTTGCTTTCAAGCTGCTCTTGAGGGCCCTCCTGGCACTGAGGAAGACTCCGGCAGCAGCTGTTGTCCTGGTGGTGGTGATTCAGCAGAGGTCACCAAACGGCCCCACAGGTCTGGGCGTCTGCAAGCTGCCATTGGCCTCTGCAGGGGTTTCCCTGCCCCTCCTCACACCTGTCCTGTCTTGGGGGCTGGCTGGGCTGAGAGCGAATGATGGGCCCGTGAACTCCATGCCAGAGATGGGCCATTGCCTTGGCTCTCCTGAGCCCTTGCCCCTCAGGGAAAGCCGTGGAGCAGTTTCCCAGTGCCCAGCGGCTGGCAGGGATGTTACGGGAATGTAACTCCTTCAGTTTTAGAGAACATGGCCGCTGATTAGAGATTATGGCATCACCACCATAGCAGTAGCAGCTTGATCAGTTGGAGGGGGGTGAAGCCCCACGGCATGTGGATCATGGAGGCAGCCCCCTGTGGCAATCAAGCAAAACATCATCACCGTGGAATATTCAAGCCGCCGATGAGCAAGAAGCCAGTTTCCATGAGCTAACGAGCTCCATGCAGCCCCTGCTGAATCCCAGCAATCAGCCCTGGCATCAGCCGGCCCCCTAAAGCAAGGAGGCAGCAATCTCCGTGAGAAAATGGGAAATTTGTCTTTGGTGATGCGGCACCCGTGGTTTGCTGTGGTTTCTATAGTAATAGAGGAAAGCATCTTTCTAAGGAGACCTTTAAACTGGAGCTCCACTCAGCTAACTCACAGCAGTACCCCCCCCCCCACCTCTCTTATAGAAACATAGAAACAGAGCGAGTCAGAAGGGGCCTCCCGGGCCATCTAGCCTGACCCCCGGCTCCAGCCGGCTCCGCTCACGACATGCCCACCATGTGCACGTCCAGCCTGTCCTTGAACACCCGCACCAGTGGGGCCTCTCTGCTCTTCTTTGGACTTGCAGGGGATGGAGACTTCCCAGCCAAAGGACTGGCCCCAGGAAGTGTGCAGCTGTTGCCAGAGCAGTTCCTCAGAGAGGGTCCCCCTTGCATCTCACACAACACAGGGAGCCCTTCCCACAGATGCAAGAGACGGCAGGGACTGGCCCAAAGTCACCCAGCTGGGGCCATGGCCAAGTGGAGAGTTTCGTCCAGGCCCCTTCGGCCAGAGTCCAGCACTCGGACTAGCCGCCACGCTGGGTTTCTACGCCTTGAAAGGAGGCCTTCCCCACAGCCAGCTGGCCTCCAAGAAAGGGGGGCTGGCAGGAGAGCGGGGGTTGCCTGCCTGCCTGTTCTCTTCCTCCCGTTTCTCGCTGGCTGTCTCAGACCACGAGCTCCTTGGGGACAAGGACCTGCCACGTTCCTTGTGCCACCTTCTCCACATATCTCCTTCTCGCAGGGGTAAACAATCTTTTTCGGCCCATCAGGGCCTCGGTCTTTTACGGCTTCTGGGGTGCATTTGCCACCCGGGGATGCATTTGCCCTCCGGGGATTCTCCTTGTTCTCGTCTTGCCCCGTCCCCTTCCCTGATTTCCCTTCCTGCCACTGCCTTCCCTTAGGACTCCAGAGCCCAGGGGGGCAGGGAGGCCGAGGGGCCTGGAGGCCACGTGTGGGGCCTTCACAGCAGGTGCCACCTTGAGTGGTCCCTCCTTCAGGGGCAGCCCAAGCAGGATTAAAAACTTCTGTCCTGCAGCAATTCAAGACAGTTCCCTCTTCCCTGTGGCTCCTGGTAATTCATTCTCGCCTTCAGTAAAGAGACTGACACCAGCGATTGGTTATGGCAGAATGGAAGCGCCCGTGGCCCCAGTGCGCATGCCGCCATGTGCACACATGAACTGCAGGGCGTCCCGTGCGGCCCAGCCGACTCGTTCACTGCTGGTGAAGGTTGCTCTGACCAGCGCTCGGCATGTTGCAGGATCCTTTGCACCCCTTCAGCCTAAAGGGTGAAAGAAACCACTTGGCATTTAGGTCCACGTGGGAAGCATGAGGACAGTGGCGGCTCTTGCAGAAGCGGCCTTTCCGCATCGAGGCCCTTGGGCAGAAGTTGGCAGCTGGTGCCCTGGTGCTGTTTCAGAGTGCGGCTGTCCTGGGCCCACCTCAGCATGGCCGGGGTTGCGGGCTCTGGGGATTGCCGGCGTCCCCGATTCTCACTCCAGGCCGGCTGGCGGCAGCTCCCCAGGGTTTCAGGCAGAGGCTTCCGCAGCCTCCCCACTGCGCACATGGGGGATCAAACCTGGGACAGGCAACATCGGTGTGGGTGCAACCGTGCGAGCAGTGGCCCTGGAGAACGCCAAGCAAGCCCCGCTTCCCTGGCAAAATCGGAGGATGTATCTGTAAGCAGGTTTGCATATCTTCCTGACCTGCCCCATCCCGTCCTCTCTTGGATCGCTCCTGTCCATCCCCCCCCATCCCAACAGAAATGCCCCGTTCCTGTGCCCAGCTGGGGCCAGGAATCCCGCCAAGTGACCTCCAAAAGAAGATCCGTTGGTGGCAGCAACTGCCTGGCTCAAGACCGCTGCCCGCATCCTTTGCCCCTGCCCTGGTGCTTCTGCTAAAGGCAGGCACTGGCTGCCCACATCCTGGACCTGACAGGCCGCCACAGGCTTGCAATCAGAGAAGGCAGGCAGGCAAAGGGAAGAGCCCAACAGCCGCCCCAAGGCTGAGACAGAAATATGCTGAGCCTGCTCCGTCGTGCGTCCGAATCTCACTCCGCTCACACCACCACCAAGCCTTTGGGGATATAATGGAGTTTACTGCTGATGCTTGCTGCATTCTAGAAAAGGATCATCTATAGAATGAAGGAACAAGAACGCCTCTGAGCATGTTCTGCATGGAGGAAATTGTTTTCCAAAACAAATAGTGCTTATGTGC